TGAAACGTGCTAGACTTGATGGGTTTAGGTTTAGACCCTGATCTAGGGTAAACCTAGTCTAGCTCTAGAGGAAATTCTAAGCTTAGACATATGCTAAAACCTTGACTGAGATCTAGACTAGATGGGTATGAGTCTCAGCTCAGACCAAGAGTGGGTCTAGGTTCGGACCTGGGTGTGAGCCTGGTTCGGACCTAGACTAAGCTGAGTGTAAGCTTGGGCTTTAACCAAGAGGGTTTTGAAGATCAGACCAGGTGTGGACCCGAACAGGATCAAGGTTGGGTTAGGCGTGAGCATTGGCTCGGACCAAAAGGGGGCCTAGGCTAGGACCTGGGTGTGAACCTGGTTCGGATCTGGGCTAGACTAGGTATAAGACTGAGCTTGGACCAATAGGGTTTTGAAGATCAGACCGGGTGTGGACCCGAACTGAATCAAGGTTGAGCTAAGCACAAGCCGCTGGCTCAGATTAAAAGGCAGCCTAGGTTCGGCCCTAGGTGTGAACGTGGTTCAGACCTGGGCTATGGTAGATACAAGCCTGGGCTTAAACCCAGAGGGTTTCAGCTCGCACTAGAAGCAGATCTGAACTGAGAACTAAGATTAAACAACTAAGATAAGCAAACACAACACTCGAAAAGTTTTCACCTAAATTATGGGTAGGCTCAGTCTGAGTGGGTTCCTAACTATTGAAATGTGGGTAGGCTGAGTAGGTCCCCACCTAGGTCGTAGCTTCTTGTTATAGGATTTTCACCAAGTCCTACTATGTGTGGAGTTGCTCTAAGGCAAAGGATTATGGAGGGGCACTCACAATTAAAGTTACACGAATCTCGACCGCCTCGACTCTCAACGCTAGGTTTCCCTCATGCAGTTATTGCGGATTTTTGGGGTTTTTGAAAATATTTGTTGGTTTCTCGGGCATTCCTTGTCCTGTGTGTGCAAGAGTGTGTAAAGAAGCACACAAACAAAAAGAACGTGGCAAGCAAGCAAACACACAATGCAAGAAAGAAAAGAAGTGAGCTCTCAGCACCAATCATGTCAAGCGATGCGTGCTTCGAGGTGGAGCTCGCTCTATAACACAATAAAGATGGAGTGGTAAGCAACCCTTAAGAAGGTACTTAGTCAAAACAGTGAAACCAGGCATAGTCTGTGCATAAGCGAGCATGGCCCGAGTCGAGGGTGGCTCGAACGGGAAACAGTTCAAAGAGGGTGGAAGCAAACCTCAAAATATTTTTCTTATTTTATTATTATTACTATTTTTTAATTTTGATGAAGCAGGGTTAAACTAAAAATTATAAAATAGGGAAATCATGGTTTCTATCAAAACTAATACAACTAAAATAAAATCAGAAAGCACAAATATAACAGTCCTATCGTAAGAAAAATATTTTTTTGTATTTTTTAAACAATTTATTTTGACCTAAAAACTGGTGAGCAACAAGATTAAACTTCCTGGAACAGGGCTGTGGGACCCCGAGATTTTCTCGTGAAATTTGAATCTAGGCGACGGATGGCACAAGTGGTGTCGCCTGAATATGGGCGGGACTGGTGGTGTCACCCAAGGCGGACAACACAAACAGAAGTTTCAAGAAAAATCTTTTTTGTATTCTTTAAAAAAAAGTATTTTGATCTGAAAATTGTAGAGCAACAAGACCAAAGATTCTGGAACAGGGCTGTGGAGTCCCAGAAATTTTCTGGGGCCTTTGAAACTGGACGACAAGGGTGGTGTCGCTCAGGCGTGGTGTCGCCCGAGTGGCACTGGTGGTGTCGCCCACACAGTTGGGTGACATGGGTGGTGTCGCCCCAATAAAAAAAATTGATTACTTTTGATGAATCAAAGTTAAACTCAACATGAAAATACAGGAAAATCATGATTTTTAACAAAATTAATTAAACTAAAATAAAATCGGAAAAGCACGAATAGAAGAGACCTGAATTAAGAAAGATTATTTTTTATTTTTAAAAAGGATTTATTTGGACCTGAAACATTGTGGGAAGTAACAACAAAGGTTTGGAAACAAGGCTATGGGGCCCCATAATTTTTTTGGTACTTTTATCTCTATCCGACACGGGGGTGTGTCACCTTGGACTTGGGTGGCACTAGTGGTGTCGCCTGGGTGACACTGCTAGTGTCACCCACGACAGACAGGGTTTTGCAGCACAGAAACCCTGGGTCCTGGTCACAGTCGAATTTGCGACCTTTTTTGTGACTAAGACAGTAAAAACACTGAACAAAAGACTCGTGTTTCTAAGGAATATCCTTTAGATCTGAACACCACAAACTGATTTTTAAAAGAAATGATAGAGAAAGTGGGGAAAATCGAATTCTAATCTGAGGTCCGATCTGTCTGGAAATGAGCGGATCTACTCTCAGATCAGTGGCAGCGCCAGCATGATCTGAATTATAAAACACTATAAAGAAGCAATAAAACTAGTCTAATATAATTAAAATGAAATAAAGAGGAAAAGGAAGCAAGAATGAGTAAAGAAGTATACCAAATCGAGCCAGATGGCGCGGGACTCCTGAGCCTTCGAGGGCTCCCCCATATCAAAACTAGTGTCCTGTTTGCCTCTCTTTTTCCAGATATTGATCAAGTCTTAGCCTGGTTGAATAGGTGTGTTGACCACACCTTACTCTGATTGAAAGAGGTTTCTACCCTAAAAATAGATGAAGAACTAGGGTTTAGGGTTTCTCAAGTCTCTGGTTAGGGTTTTCTTCTATGTGCTAACTCTTTTCTGACCTAATTCAAGAAGAAGCTCCCTCAGAAATAGCCATGAATTTTCATTTTTGTAGATTGGGAATCGACTCAAAAGAGCAACTTACCATCACTAGCGAAATTCCACCCCCAAACTTCTATTCCGGGAATCCCGGGTCTGGGCGACACTAGCAGTGTCACCCAGCCAAATTGGGCCAAATTGTAAGAAACTTGGCCCACACAAGAGGGGAACCTCTAGAAGGCATAAACTACCGTTTTTGGGCAGTCTAGTTTGGGTGACACTGGTAGTATCGCCTAGGTCAGGACTGCTCAAAAACAAAAATTTCCTATTCATGGCAAACTCTGGGATTGTCAAGGTGCTGCCTACTAAAAATCATCCAATTTGGACCTGTTTAGGCTGGGCGACACTGAAAGTGTCGCATACCTAGGACTGCCCAAAATGGTAGATTCTTGTTCAGCACTAATCCCTAGGCAGACCTACCAAAACCTGACGATTTCGGGTCAAAATGGGTTGGGAGACACTACTGGTGTCACACTGGCGACATTGTTGGTGCCGTCCACACTGATGGGCCACCCCATCTGTGTTGTCCAATCTGCGCATACCAAAAGTATCCGAAACTGAAATTTCTTTGATCAGGTTTGTAGTTCAGGCTGTTATGAAGATCCCATGGGAAAATTTGGGCCAAAAAGAGTTATTTTACAATTTTTGGTGATTATTTTGGTAAAATAGAGCGTTTACAAGATTATGGGTGAAAACAGGGTGTCTACAGGATTCTGAGTTATAGGGTAGGCAGAATGGTTCTGGATCATTGGCTAGACAGTTTAGATTATAGTTTGGGAGGTTTACTAGGATAATGTGGTTCTAAAGGTTCAGGAAAACCACATAATGTACCAGAATTAAAATGAGGTGTCTACAATGTACCAAGTCAATTATTAAAAGGGAGAAAACCATTATGCCTTCAAGGTATTTATAAAATTGGGAGAAATTCTATCGTGCATAGGTTTTTAAAATACCCATATGCCTTGATCATATTTGTAGTTATTTAGAATCATTGATTACTTAAGACCTTGAACCATAGGGAATGATGTAGGAAGGCCATCTTGTTAGGCTTCCTTTACTTGGTTTGTATGAGTTTACTACCAAGATGACTAGTGTGGTTGAACCTTTTGTAGTTTATAAAGGTTTTACATATTGTGAAACCAATGAGCATTGAATTATTTATTGCATAAGACTTATTATGCTACCTCATGATATAGGCATAAGAATGTTAAAAATGTATATATATTGTATGTGCAATAATTGAGTGGGAGCTGCTTGGATATTTAGATATACTGATGCTAGCCATCTCAAGGATCAAGATGATGTGAAGTCTACATCTGGGTATGTGTTTATGCTTGGAGGGACTACAGTCTCTTGAAAATCAAAGAAACATGATGTGGTGGCGTTATCTATCCTAGAGGCAAAATATGTGGCGTGCTGTATTGGCGACCAATGAGGCCGTATGGATTAAGAAATTTCTTAATCAACTTGACTTTCAACGCTTGCATTGTGAGGCAGTGAGGATTATGTATGTAAAAGGGAGCCATGATTCTATAATAACTCCAAGCGTACAAAACTAAATATTCCAATGGGAGCACCTAATGTTTGACAGGCCAACTAGAATAACAGACTGTGGTGTTGTTCACCCATGGAACCCAAATGTGTGGCACTGGTTGTATGGCTATAGAAAGAAGCAACTTGTTTGAAGAACTCCTTTGAGCCCATGAGGACACGAACCCATATGATGAGGATACATGATGATCATCTATGACAGCATGTCCATGATTCATGATGCGATATGAAAGATGGACTACGACCACTTTTAGGATGAGATCCAAGCAGCAAAGAGGAAGAGGCGTTGCCTTTATGAGTCCTTTTGTGAAAGGATTGATGAAAAAAGTCATGATTCACATATTGAGAGAGATTGTGATGGTGGCCTACAGAGGCGGGGGCCAAAACCTCATCCATGTACCATAACACGGCATGCATATTGATAAATTGTTCAAGAAAGCGAGCAAGCCACCTTTAGGGTGAAGCATATGCATGTACGAGAGATACCACTATGCACCATAGAGATGTAGTCGCATTAGGTCTAGGTGACCTTGACTCGTCTCTAAGGGAGAACCAGAAATCCACAGACTGGGATTACGACCCCTTGGCTATTAGAACCGAAACCTTTTCCAGCTAGAGGGGCTTCTGCAGTAGTAAAGAGCCAATGAAAGAGAAGAAGAGAAGTTTTATCACCTTTTGTGTCATCGCCATTGCCTTTTTGTGTCATCGACATCGCCTTTTGCACCATCACCTCTTATGTCATCGACATCACCTCTTATGCCATCGCCATCGCCTTTTGTGTCATCGCCTCTTGTGTCATCGCCATTGCCTTTTGTGCCATTGCCTCTTGTGTCAACACCATCACGTCTTTTGTCATCGCCATCGCCTTTTGCATCATCGCCTCTTGTGTCATCGCCATCACTTGTTGCGCCATCGCCTCTTATATCATCGCCATCGCTTTTTGTGTCATCGCCTCTTGTGTCATCGCCATCGCCTTTCGTGCCATCGCCATCGCCTTTTGCACCATCGCCTCTTGTGTCATCGCCATCGCCTTTCTGTCATCGCCATCACCTTTTGTGTCATCGCCATTGCCTTTTGCGTCATCGTCTCTTGTGCCATCGCCTTTTGTGTCATCGCCATGCATGAACATGACTGCCACTTTCCAGAGGCATGTTGACACACATGCCACTTGTCCTATTGCATGTATGAGGATTGCTACTTGTCACTTTGGGAATTTCCACCTCCAGCTAACAAGCATTTAAGCTCTGTACCTCCTTCCCACGCCATTCATTCTCTCACTCTCTCTCTCTCTCTCTCTCTCTAGAGCGCAACACTTAGAACTTGAGATTTGGAGTTTGTCCTTTGGAGGAAGCTTGGTGGGTGAACTTGGATTGAGGTGGAAGTGACATACTACAATGACACCAAATTACTTCCATAATATAGATTTCAGGAAGGTTTCATTCTGTTATCTAATATAGATTTAAACCTATGTATCCCTCTGTTGGCCTATCAAATGACATCCAAATGACACCAAATTACTTCCATTTGAAATATATGTGTGTGTACTTAAAATTTTATGATGAAATTATCTTGAAATTCCCTCTAGATGGAGAGTTATGCCTTTGTGAAGAGGGATATGTCACTGTTAGTAGAATTCAGAAATTGACTTCTGGTGGCTTGAGCTTTGGACCAACCAAATGATGTCCAAATGCTTCCAAACCACTCCCATTTGAAAGATACATGCGTCTAGTATAAAATTTGATTTGGAAGCATATCAAAATTCTCTACAGTTTGGAAATTATGTCCCTTTTTCCTAGGGCAATGTCACTATTAAGAATGCAGGAAATTCCAAGACCTTTCACATTTTTGTAATAATATGTCAGATGACCAAAATGCCCCCGAATTTTAGCTCAAACTAGTTATCAATGCAAAGATCAGTGAATGCTAATGAATAAGTAAAAGCATATATGAGATAAGTGCCTGTGAGAAGTGCTTGTGACAAGTGCTTGTGATAAGTGTATGAGATAAATGCATGTGATAAGTGCAGTGCCATGTAATTCCAAATAAGCATGATTCCAGGACTTGCACTACTCGAATATGTGTGCATATTATGATAATATCAGGCTGTGATATGTACTATTGGATATGTGAATGGACCCATGTGGTCAGCTATGTACCGTGATACTGTGATATGTGATTGATTAGCATGTTTTGAGCATATTGCATGAGCATACTGTGATATGTGATTGATTGGCATGCTTTGAGCGTATTGCATAACCATACTGTGATATGAGACTGATTGGCATGCTTTAAGCGTATTGCATGACCATATTGTGATATGTGATTGGTTGGCATGCTTTGAGAGTATTGCATGACCATATTGTGATATGTGATAGTGTGATATGTGATTGGTTGGCATGCTTTGAGTGTATTGCATGACCATACTATGACATGAGACTGATTGGTATTCTTTGAGCATATTGCATGACCATACTGTGATATGTATCTTGTCGGCGTGCTTTGAGCATATTGCACTGCCGACTCGTGACCTCTCCGGCTCGCCCAATGATAGGACTGCATTCGGGTAGATGGCGATGGGTGGTCGCTCCCCCATTCATAGTGATTGACACCCTGATGGTGTGATGCTCCTAGCCAAGGTGGCATAGGGAGTAGTGTTTTGTAAGGCCACCGCCTATCGAAAACCCCAAAGCACGATGGGGACTGTGTGTATGCGTGAAGGAATTACGAAGTGGGACACCCACTTGTCATTGTCTTCCCTTCTGAATGAGGGTAGAGGTTTCAAGCGGCAAGATTGCCTTAACTTGAACAATGGAACTTCTACTTCGGTTGTAGGTGACCTAGAAAGTAAGTTGAGTAATATACTTGTTGATGATAAATTGATTTAAATTTATAGCTTCGTGATTTGTTATGACACTTGTGCTGATAAGACTTGATAGACTGGTGCTTCTGAATGATGCTTGTGTTATTATTATTGCTCATCTCTTAAAAGAATTACTCATAACTCCTTGCTGGATATATTAGTGGAACATGGCTTCTGATTCTACTTAATAGGCTTTATAGCTCATTCCTTTACTTTTCATTCTTGTAGAGCAGTAGCTGCAGGTCAAGGACAGTTGGTTGGGTGAGCGTTTTAGTGGCTCCGAGGACCTGCACCTGTCAAGAAGACCTTTGATTGTATGTGTCTGGTTTGGCTGTGGGCCATGTTCTTGTTTATGTTACAACTATGTATTTTTGAAACTAGGCCTTTGGTGCCTTATACGATTGTAATTCTCTAAGTTTGAATATTTATAAATATAAGTTTCAATTTTATTTTTCCCAGTTTCTTATATGGTTGTGTTTAGAGTTTTATTTTCTCGTGGTTTGCTTTGTTTACCTCTTCTCTAAAAGCGATGAGCGCACTCCGACCTGAGTGGCATTCACTACCGTGGGATCACGGACCCGCACTCTGCGACCCTCCGGCATTAACATCATGGGACAGGGGGTGGGGTCGTGACATTGGCTCATCAGCCAGACTTTGGTGACCCGTTAATGAGCCTCTGCTTGGACTATGGGTCATGGGCAACGCTGGGTCGGCATGATAAAGCAAATATGGTCTGTAGTCTACAGTTGAAGGTGGAGGTCCTCATTATTGATTTAATTCCTTGACCATAGAGATCATTTTTCCAATCAAATTAATTTAATTATGTTTCTTCTATGATAGATATTATTTTAGAATTGTTATTTGAATTTTTATAAACCCCGGATATTTTATTTATAAAATTTGTGCTTAAGAAATTAAAGATATTGATTTTTAATGATTTAAATAGTCAAATAATATTCTAAAATTTACTTTTTATTATTTTTAAATAACTGAAATTTTTTGGGGGGGTTCATTGTGCACATGGGCCCACTATACCCAAATTTTATGAGGCCATGTTGCCATCCCTTGGGTGGCATGCCCCTATTTTAGGGGGGCTGCCTATCATGCACTATTTTTATGGATCGATTGATTTTTATTTATCTTAAGTGGGTTTGAGATGATGAGTTGATATGAGCTTTTGATATGGCTTATCTATATAACTTTGGGTTGATAAGTGTGTTCTATCTCTAAGAGATTTGAGTAAAATCTTCTAGAAGGCCTGATGAGGCTTATGGATATATTTTAGATAAATACACTAGTTTCTTGATTAAGTTGTATCTGATGGGATAATGGTCAAACGAAGGGGGGATAATGGTTTAGCACATTTCGTAATGTTAATGCCCATCCATGGAATGAATGGCTCAGATCTCTCACCCCACAAGTCACCCTTGATTGATGGTTCATATTCAATCTTATGAGGTAAGAAATGGGAACCCTAGACCCAAGATTATAAATAGGGAACCTCTCTGGCTCCTCTCTCACCTCACTCTCTCTCCTTTTCTATCTCACACATCCCTCTCTCTCTCCCTATCCTATTTTAATGGGGCTATGCCCCATGCTCTCTCACTTTATCTACTCTCTCATATCTCTCTTCATAAGGGGCACACCCCTCTCACTTCTCCCATCCCTCTCTAGCAAATATCTCTTCTCTCTCTTAGCCCAATAACAGGGGCACGCCCCAACAAGAGATAAACCTTCTCTCTCAAATTTGATCTAAGCCTAGGGTTGGGAAAAAGGAGGATTTTTTTTTAAGCAATATTTTGGGAATTGATCGTAAAGCTTTTGTGAGAGCATACGGGTTCCATTGAAGAGCTTGGTCGAAATTAGCTTTCTCAGTTGATATTGAATGATCGTCGATATCGCGCCATCAGATAGTGGTGACTCGGTGTGGGGTATAATAAGTTTGGTTGAGGTAATCTTCAGCATTCTTCCTTTGTTTCTTGCATATTTAATTGTATAGTCTTTATATTCTCAAGCACAAGATTTTTCGTAATTTTCTTTGATTAAAGAAAATTGGTTTAGTGCCATCAAAGGTTTTAAGATCTTGGATTTGTAAGTTTTTATTTTCTTTGAACCAAGAGTTATTGTAATAAGATTACTTGCATGTGATCTTTGCCAAAAGAAAAGAAAAAGGGTGAGAAAAAAAAAATTCCCCGTCAAGATCACATTGGTCACACTTTCAGGGATAGCAGACTAGCTGCTGCCTCATTGCCCTCTCACTCTCTCCTACACCCCTCTTCTCTTATTTACTCACATACTCTCTCACTTACACACTCTCTCACTCACACACTTTCTTACTCACACATTCACACACTCTTTTACCCACACTTTCATCTTCTTATCTCTTCTCCTCTACTTCTTTACATCTCGTCCTTCACCTCCCCTCTCTCTCTTGAAATGTCTGAGCTATTAGTCTCCACTTCAAGGAGCATGCAATACCGGTCTAGGATACAAAAGGTTTATTCTCTCTTCTTCTCTACTTCTTTATATCTCATTCTTCATTTCCCCTCTCTCTGCTAAGATCGTCAGAGCTGTTAGCCTCTACTTCGAGGAGCGTGCGACACCGGTCTAGGGCGTGAGAGGTATCTTCTCGCTTCATCTTCTTTCCTTTTCTTCTTCTCTTTATCACTCTCCCTTCTTATCTCTCTTTTTATTGATCTCTAGGGGGCTCTTATGATATTCATCTTGGCCAGATTTACCTAGCCAGTATAGTTTCTTGTGAATCCTCTGGGGTATCGAGGCCTTGAGCCCAATACCTTCTTTGTCTTACGGTAAATATCTCATTGAGGATGTTACGCCGAAAGGCTGCCCAATTCTCGAGTGGCTCTCTCCCCTCTCTTTATTCCATCTCTCTCTCCTCTCCTTCTTTAGTCTATTGTATCTCTCTTCTCTTCTCTTTTCATCTCCTAAACCCCGTAAAAATCCCCCTAAAGACCAACTAAAAAGCGCGAACCAAAGGGGACGGCATTCTAAGTTGTTTTATTAAGTGGGTACCTACGTTGTGCAACATATGCAAGGGTGCCGAATCTAGACCGAGCCTTTAGTAGCCGGGGGGCATTCGTGCACCCTGATCCCTACCAAGCAAGGTAAGCCTTACCTCGCAACCTTCTTATTGTTAGTTTGAACCGAACATAT